TTGGGGTGGGTTGGGTTGGGATGGTTTGGATTGTTGGGTTGGGTTGGGTTGGGTTGAGTTGGGATGGTTGGGTTGGGTTGAGTTGGGTTGGGTTGAGTTGGGATGGTTTAGATTGTTGGGTTGGGTTGGGTTGGGTTGAGTTGGGATGGTTGGGTTGAGTTGGGTTGGGTTGAGTTGGGATGGTTTGGATTGTTGGGTTGAGTTGGATTGGGTTGAGTTGGGTTGGGTTGGGATGACATCATCATCTTTACTGCCGCCTGCTGGCACACCGGTGAGGATGAGTTGGGATTGTTGGGATGGGTTGGGTTGGGTTGACGTCATCGTCTTCGCTGCCGCCTGCCGGCACGCTGGCGAGCATGGCCACGGGATGGTTGGGATTGTTGGGTTGGGATGGGTTGAGTTGGGATTGTTGGGTTGGGTTGGGTTGGGTTGGGTTGACATAACACCATCGTGTTCGCCACCGCCTGCCGGCACTCCAGTGCGGGTTGGAATTGGGATTGGACTGGGACGGGATTGGGGTGATCCCAACGTAGGAGTGACTCCCCCATCCCGATCCCACTCTGGTCCCAGTCCCAATCCCAACATTCCCAACATTCCAGGGGTGCAGATGTTCGTGTCCAACCGGGAGCAGTTCGGGTTCCTGCCGGTGCCGCTCCCATCCCTGATCCCAATCCCATTATTCCTGATCCCGTTATCCCCGATCCCGTTATCCCTGATCCCGTTATTCCCGGTCCCGTTCCAGGGGTGCAGATGTTCGTGTCCAACCGGGAGCAGTTCGGGTTCCTGCCGGTGCCGCTGCGCTCCCAGAGCTCCCCTGATCCCATCCCCAATCCCATCCCTGATCCCGTTATCCCCGATCCCAATCCTGTTACCCCTGATCCCGTTATCCCCGATCCCGTTATCCCTGATCCCGTTATTCCCGGTCCCATTCCAGGGGCGCAGATGTTCGTGTCCAACCGGGAGCAGTTCGGGTTCCTGCCGGTGCCGCTCCCATCCCTGATCCCAATCCTATTATCCCTGATGCCTTCCCTGATCCCATCCCTTATCCCATTCCCGATCCCGTTATCCCTGATCCCATCCCGTTATCCCTGATCCCGTTATCCCAAATCCCGTTATCCCTGATCCCTTCCCTGATCCCGTTATCCCTGATCCCGTTATCCCCGATCCCGTTATCCCTGATCCCGTTATTCCCGGTCCCGTTCCAGGGGTGCAGATGTTCGTGTCCAACCGGGAGCAGTTCGGGTTCCTGCCGGTGCCGCTGCGCTCCCAGAGCTCCCTGCGGGACGAGGCCGAGAACTTCCTGCACGTCCAGCTGGAGATCATGGGTGAGATCCCGACGGATCCCGACGGATCCCGACGGATCCGGGGCCTCGGGGTGGGCCCGAGGGATCCAGGGCCTTGGGGTTGTGGGGGAGGGAAGGGTCCCATTGGATCCCAATGGATCCCAAAGGAATCGGGGCCTTGGGGGAGGGAAGGATCCCAGTGGATCCCAAAGGATCCCAAAGGAATCAGGGCTGTGGGGGAGGGAAGGATCCCAGTGGATCCCAAAGGATCCCAAAGGATCCCAAAGGATCCAGGGCCTTGGGGCTGTGGGAGAGGGAAGGATCCCAGTGGATCCCAAAGGAATCAGGGCCTTGGGGTTGTGGGGGAGGGAAGGATCCCAGTGGATCCCAAAGGAATCAGGGCCTTGGGGTTGTGGGGGAGGGAAGGATCCCAAAGGATCCCAAAGCCTCCAGGGCCCAGGGATCCTGGGAAGGAGAAGGAACCTGGGATGGGATCCCAGGGATTGGGAATTCTTCATGCCCTGGGGTGGGAAAAGTTCCTTTGGGATCTGGGGCCGATTCCTTCAGGATGTGGGGCAGATTCCCGTGGGCTCCAGGGGCTGAATTCTGGTGGGATTTAGGGGCTCATTCCCATGGGATTTGGAGGTGATTCCTTTGGGATTTGGGGTCCATTCCCATGGGATTTAGGGGTCCATTCCCATGGGATTTAGGGCCTCATTCCCATGGGATTTGGGCCCCATTCCCATGGGATTTGGGGCCCAGTCCATGGGATTTAGGGGCCCATTCCCATAGGATTTAGGGGCCCATTCCCATGGGATTTAGGGGCCCATTCCCATGGGATTTAGGGGCTCATTCCCATGGGATTTAGGGGCCCATTCCCATGGGATTTAGGGGCCCATTCCCATAGGATTTAGGGGCCCATTCCCATGGGATTTAGGGGCCCATTCCCATGGGATTTAGGGGCTCATTCCCATGGGATTCTCCCATTCCCATGTTTTTGGGGCCCATTCCTCTGGGATTTAGGGTCCATCCCCATGGGATTTGGGGTTCATTCCCATGGGATTTGGGGTTCATCCCCCTGGGATTTGGGGTTAATTCCCCTGGGATTTGGGGTTCATTCCCCTGGGATTTGGGACCCATTCCCATGGATTTTGGGATTCATTCCCATAGGATTTGGGGTTCATTCCCATGGGATTTGGGGTTCATTCCCATGGAATTTGGGATTCATTCCCATGGATTTTGGGATTCATTCCCATGGGATTTGGGGTTCATTCCCATGGGATTTGGGGCCCATTCCCATGGATTTTTCCCACAGTGAAGCTCCCCCCGGCCGAGCCCTCCCCCCACGTGTGGGTCCCTCCCAAGGTCCTGGACAAGCTGGGATTCGATGAGGTGGGAGCCCCTCCCTCGGAATTCCGGCCGGGATCTCCTTCCCCTCTGGGTTTGGGATCTTTTCCCACCTTTCCCTTGGCATTTTGGGTCATTTTCCTCCTTTTCCTTGGGATTTTGGGTCATTTTCCTCCTTTTCCTTGGCATTTTGGGTCATTTCCCTCCTTTCCCTTTTTTCCTCCTTTTCCTTGAGACTTTGGGTCGTTTTCTTTCGTTTATTCTGGATTTTGGGTCGTTTTCCTCCCTTTTCCTCTGGATTTTGGGTCATTCGTCCCTTTTTTTCTAGATTTTTGGGTTATTTTCCCACTTTTCCCTGGATTTTGGGTCATTTTTTGCTCTTTTGGGTGGTTTTTCCCCTTTTCCTCTGGATTTCAGGGGGGAGTTTCTTGTTCCCATGTGGATCCCTTGGATTTGGGGCAGATTCTCCCATTCTAATCTGGGTTTTGGGGTGAATTTCCCCATTTTCTCCCAGATTTTGGGTGAATCCCCCCAGATTTCCCCATTTTCCCCTGGATTTTGAGGTGTATCCACCCAGATTTTCCCATTTCCCCCACATTTTTTCCCCATTTCCCCCCAATTTCCCCATTTTCCCCGAGATTTCCCCATTTTGCCCCCATTTTTCCCCATTTCCCCTGAGATTTCCCCATTTTCTCCCCGAATTTCCCCCATTTCCTCCCCATTTCCCTCCAATTTCCCCCCATTTCCCCCCTGATTTTCCCAAATTTTTCCCCATTTTCCCCCGGATTTCGGGGTGAATTCCCCTATTTCCCCCCATTTTCCCCCCATTTCCCCCCAATTTCCCCCCCAATTTCCCCCCATTTCCCCTCATTTCT